CACAAATAATAAATAAACAGTCTAATGGGAAAAAATTTCCTCAATGATAAGATTTTAAACACCAAAAAAAACATTAGAAAAACTTAGAAACACCTAATGATGCTCACTTGATGGTACACCTTTAAAGGTCAAGATTTTTACCTGTTCCCGAGTATGGTTTTATATTTCATATATAGAATTTAGCCCTATTTCCTACTAATAAAAATTCATAAGATTACATACTAGTCTGGACAAGTTTTGCTATAGCTGCCTATGCATTTCTTCAATGTGAAAAGAGCAAGCTAATTCTGACTTCACTATCCTCACCAGAAAATGAATGTCAGATGAATGGAGTACAGGCTGAAATAAGATTGGATATTTCGGTTTATCTTATTTTTTTTCTCTACTCTCTAGATGGATATTACTATTAATTTAATTTTACTACCTCTTTTTGAGTCCAACTTTGCTCAGTTCCCTGAATACAAAAACATCTTATCGATTACTTGCTCCAATAGAAAGAAATGAATTTGCCCCAACTTAACACAGGAATTTAAAATTCATGCCACCTTAGTTCCAACCTGATGCTTCAACTATATAACGTGACAACTATACTTGCATGTGTGCTTGGGATTTAGCACAATACAGTATTTAAATGGCTTAAAATGTTATGTGAAAAATAGATTTTTAAACCTAATTTTCAAAATCAAATCATATTTTATAAACAATAATCAGTATGAAATTTAAGATGCACTACTACCATGCACAGCCAGCTAAAACCAATTTTAACCCTTCAAATTCAGTACATGTACTTTTAAAGAATTAAATCTTGATAAAGGGTCACAAAAAAAGTGCCATGCACATTTTGCACTATTATGCCAGAAACTGAAATCTCTTAAGCATTTGAAAAAAAGAAAACCAAAACTTTTCAGTAAATGTCTTTCAAATGAACAATGACTAGAAGACTTTGGGAGAAGTATGAACTGCATAAAGATACTGTATCTTTAAAGCATTAGACATGTTTCTGCTTTAAAAAGGCATCTGGTAATATCAGTCTCTCCCACTAAAAAACCAATGAAGACATTAGAAAATACTTTATAATTAACAGTAATACGGAAAAAAGACCTAACAAAGACTTGTCAAGCTACCAGAGGGTATGTCTACTAAACATAGTCAATAAAATTAGATTAGGATCCAGGACTGGTGACATGTTCCAACTGTGTGCTGTCAACTACCAAAAAGGAACAAAATGATTAGTATAAACGAAGGGTGCTGGTGTGGCCTATTACACATGGAGAGGTCAAGTCTTTAGGCAGGGCATGGCAAAAAGGGCTCTAGTAACATCACATACTGGAGACGAAAGATTTTTATGCACACAGTAGAAATTATTATTCACTTACTGGCCTAAAAATACTTATAAAAAGGCAGAATATTTCTTTCAAAAGGTGCTTTGCTTCTCCCCTCTATACATGAGGTCTTCCCACTGTTTTACTAAGAATAATTTTATTGTCAGGGATCTCTGATATATGCAGAACCTAGACCAATCTTATCTTTATATCTTATAATATTTCCCATTACTTTCAACAAGAACTAGTCATGTTAGTTTTCTTACTGAATGCCTCTTGTTTAAAACATAATCACCCGCCTCTCAGTATCTTGCTGCTCTGCTACCTAGATAATCTTACTTCTTTCCTTCTGAGCTGAATTCTTTCCATTCCACAATAGTCTGTTGGTATTATGAAGATTTTCAGGATGACTCTATCAATCAACAATTCTATATAAATCCATTTTAATAATCAAAAGAACTAAATTGCCTATGTATACAATTAAATTCATATACATATTATAATATTTGTTAGGGGTTTTCTTGGTATATTTATACTCATCACATCTAACAGATTTCATTAGTAAAATATTTATACTTACAAAGACTATTTACTGAAATTGGAAAAAGTTTAAAGAACTAAGTTTAGGACATCCATTTCTGATTAAATGGTAGAATGGACTATTTACGACCAACCTTTCAAACTAAAAATGCTCAGGAAAGTATAAAAAATACACTGTAAAAGACTGAATGTCGATGAGAGAAAAGAGGAATGCTAAGCCAAACCATGTGAGATTGTAATAAAAACCCTGGCCTATCATAACTGGTTTTGCTGTATTAAATTTGTTATAAGGCCTGGTCAACAAACTAAAGCCAATCAATTTTTTTTTTTTTTTTTTTTTTTTTTGGAGGACAGAGCTCTCCTTTCTTGCTGGCATAGTGAGTGCCATGGCGTCATCAGCCTACACAAGGCAACCTCAAACTTCTGGGCTCAGCCAATCCTGCTGCCTCAGCCTCCGACGTTGCTGGGACTACAGGCACGAGCCACCATGCCGCGGTAATTTTTTTTATATATACATTAGTTGGCCAATTGATTCTTTCTATTTTTATAGTAGAGACGGGGTCTCGCTCAGGCTGGTTTTTGACTCCTGACCTTGAGCAATCCGCCCGCCTCCGCCTCCCAGAGTGCTAGGATACAAGCTGGAGCCACCACGCCCTGCCCTAAAGCCAATAATTAATTTAACACCATTCAGACTGTGAGACTCTTGATACCTAAAAGGACAAGTGCAATCTTCTGAGGAAAAGGCATGTCACATGTAATAATATCATGATAATACTTTTAAGAACAGCAGCAAAAGCAATAATAAATCCACCGGAAGGGAAGGTACAAAGACATGAATGGGGGGAAGACAGCAGGGACACATCCATAAAGTCACCTGACACTACATATTATAAGACAATATTAAAATACCAATTATCTGTACTACTTAAAATAAGACCAACCATGAAAATGTAACGAAATGAACTATAGAAACATAAATTAAAATACAACTTTAAGATTTAGAAAAAAAATAGAGAATTCAAAGTACATCGGTAGAAAAGTGGAAGTGGCTATATAGCCCTGCCTACAGATACAATTACAACAAAAGGATGTTTTAAATGATTTAAGGACAAGAAACCATGGAAAACTCAAAGCTGTGTTTAAGCCTACTGAACCTCCCTTCAAAAAAAAAAAAGAAAGAAAGAAAGAAGAAATACACTTTGCAGAAAACCAATAAAACAAGAATTGATATAACATATAATTTAACCATGGACCCAATATATGGGATAGATGGAAAAGAAAATAAATTAATGCTAAGTGAATAAGCCACAGGCATGAAATACAAGATTACTAATGTTCTAACTTATATGTGGGAATCTAAAACACTGGAACTCAAAGAAGCAGAGAATAGAAATGTTACCAGGCTGGAATGTGGGGAAGTGGGGAATTATGGTTAAATGGATTAACCTCAATGAGACAGGAAATAGTTTTATTATTTTTTTTTACTTTGAAATAAATTCTATAGCATCGAATGCCATAAATATAATGTCCATAACATTTCGAAGTATCTAAATAATAAATTAATAAATAAATAAATATAAATTTCAAATTTCTTACCCACAAAAAGGTATAAGGATTTGAGGATGGATATGATAATTAGCTTGAATTTCATTAATTCTACATGTATTCATAAATTCATAGATACTCACTTGTACCACAATGAATATATTACAGCTATATCTGCCAATTTACCAATGTAAAATAAATACGTAAATAAAAATAAGCATAAGTATAGCAATCACATCAAAATACTGATCTGTTTATATGACTACAGAATTACATCATTTAACAGTAGCACTAAGGATTGAATACGTAAATAATAATACCATAGATAGGGAATAAGTTAAAGATGATTGTTATTCTACGTGAACATTTTAAAAAACCACAAAAAGTTATAGCTAGAAGCCATAATAGAAAATAAAATTTTATTTTATGAAGACCAAAAGGATAAGAAACAAGTAACGGAAGAATAAAAAAAAAAAAAATTAATGACAAACCAAAAAAGACAGAACATAGCAGACCAAGGCATAACCAACATCAGTAATTTTTGCTATCCAATGTAAATGCCTAAGCAACTTCCAACCCAATTTAAGATGGAGGTTATCAGATCAGATTTTAAAAAAAACCACAAAAGAAATCAAGAACCAATTAACAGGCTGCCTGCAAGTGATACAGAAACACAAATTAAATTAGAGAACAGAAGAAGAATACAGGCATAAGATGAAATGGTTATATTCTTTCAGATGATTAGCACACTTAACATAAGACAAAATTCGCCACAGGCCAAAAAGGGCATTTCATAATAATAAAAGAGTTCTCCTTTCGAACTCTGACCTCCAGCAATCGCCACCTCAGCCTCCCAAGTGCTAGGTTACAGGCGGTGAGCCACCACTCCGGCCTGAGATGTGCACATCTGGGGGGGATGGTCATGCTGGAACTCAGATTGTGGGGGGGGGGGAAAGGGCATTTATTGAAATCTTAAATTGTACCCTATAATATGCCGAAATAAAAAAAGTCAATAAATGAAGATGACAAATTAAAAATGTAAATACAATAGAATGATAAATTCAAATATCTGAGCAAAACTGGCAATAATAATGAGAAACACAGAAAAAACCCCAATCATAGTTGAAGATTTAACATATACCCCTCAGTAAACTGATGGAACATCTAGACAAAAAGTCGAAAGGACATAAAGATCAGCCACTTTAACCTAAGTGACATTACAAAACTCAAAACTCAGCACTGCATAAGAGACTTTTTCCCAAATACATTGTAACATTCACCAAAGGACCATATGGCTAGGCAATAAAACAAATCTCAATAAGATGGAAATCTTACCAAGTAAGTTTCCAGACCACAACAAAATTGAATTAAAAATAATAATAAAACATTAAACAAATCTGGAAATACTCCTTTTGAAATCTATGAGTAACAAGAAACACAAAATTAGAGATATTTTGAATTGAATGATATAAAATACAACATTAAGATCTGTGAGATGCAGCTAGGCAATGAACCAAAAGCTTTTGTTTAAAACATGTAATAAAATTGATAAACCTCTAGCTAACTGATCAAGGAAAAAAAAACTGATCAGTGAGAACAAAACAAAAGACAAAATACTGAGCAGCAGGAATGTAAAAGGATGTCACTGAAATTCTAGAGGCATTAAAAGAGAATATTTTCAAGTCAATAAATTCAACTACATACAGGAAGAGACAAATTATGTGAATGATGGCAACAATGCACCAAGAAGAATCTACAAAGAAATTGGATATAATAGTTAAACACTTAAAAAAAGAAAATTCCATGCTTAGGTGGCTTCAATGATGAAGTGTAGGAAACATACAAAAAAGGAATAATTAATACTGCAAATACTTTTGAAAAAATACAGGAGGATAACACAAACCATTATGAGCCAGTATTTACCCTGACACCAAAACTAGCCAAACTAGACCAGTATTCCTCATTGACAATAGATGCAAAAATATTAATAAATTTTGGCATATCAAATCCAACAATATATGCAACTTATATAAAAGGATAAAAATCATAAGAGAAATTAAATGTATTAATGGAATGCAAATTGGCTTAATATCTGAAAACCAATCAGTGCAATACATAATTAATAAGAATAAGGGAAAATAACATACTTCATTTTAACACATAAAGAATGAGCATTCAACAAATTCAAACCCACAATAGTTCAGAAGGAAAAAAAAAGTCCCAGAGAAGAGAAGAAACTTTCTAACTTGACAAAAGAACACAGACAAAACCACAGCTAACACATACTCAATGGTAAAAAACGAATGCTTTTTCACCTAAGCATAGAAACAGGCAGAATGTATGCTCCATCACTTCTATTCACACTGCACTAGAAGTTCTAGATAATACAGTAACTCACACAAAAAAATAAAAAGGCTGGAGGAGGAGAAAAATAGAACTGTCCTTATTTACAGGTGACATGATTGTATACATAGAAATCCTAAGAATCTGTAAGAAAGATATTATATTAATAAGTGAATTTAGCAAAATAGCATGGTACAAGATCAATATATAAAAACCCAGTTTTATAAATATCAGACTAAACAAGCAATTAACAATGGAAGTGAGATAAAAATATAATTCCACTTACAAGAGGCATCCAATACATGACTACTCAGGGAAAGATTTAATACAATAAATATATGATTATACTGAAAACTATAAAACTTGTTAAATAAAGAACACTCAAATAAGTAGAAATATAACAAGTTATTATTTGGACTATTCAGTATTATTAAAATGATAATCCTTCCCAAATTGATTTATGGATAAATATAATCTCAATACTAGCAGTCATTTTTTGTAGAATTTTTCATCATTTAAAAATGTTATCTATAAATAAAACCTAGAATAGCCAAAGCAATTTTTAAAAGGAATTCAAGTTGGAAAATTTGATTACCTGATTTAAGATTAAAGTACAATATTCGGTATAGCAATAGGCTGGTATTGATTAAAGGACATATAAATCAATGCAACAGAACAGTATGTCCTGAAATAAACCCATGCATATATATTTAACTGATTTTCAACCAAAATTCCTAGAAATTATTTACAATTTAGAATCTTTTCAACAAATGGTGCTGAAACATAGAATATCCACATATAAAAAATTAACAATTGCCCTTTATATAATATTATACTATACACAGATGTCAGCTTGAAATGATTCATAGATACAAGAACTAAAACTATAAACTTCTAGAAAACATAAGGGAAAAAATCTTTGCAACCTTGATATAGAAGATTTCTTTGATACAACACAAAAAAGAATGTATTATAAAAGAAATAATAAATTAGACTGATTGAATTTAAAACATATCCTCTACAAAAGACACCTTAAAGAAAATAAAAGTCAAGTCACCGAATGGGAGAAAATATTTCTAATATACACCAGAAAAATACAAAAACTATGTACCAAGCTCTTCCACTAACAGATAACCTATAAAAAGGTGTTTATATATATGTGTGTGTGTGTGTGTGTGTGTGTATAGCAGGACAATGGTATTTTAATGTCCTGTGTTATAAGCACAAATATACATTTGAAAGAGCCATTTTCTCATTTATTTATAGAAATACCAAAATTGAGCACATCACCTGTGTCCGAGAAGTCGTTTTCCTTTGGTATCAGCAGAAATTTGCCTTTATTACTAATACGTGCTGCTGTTCTTTTAACAGAATTTATATGTCTATCAGCTGCATTTTCATTGAATCTCCTCTGGCAATATGGACATGGATATAATCTAAAATAGATAAAAACAGAACATTTAAAACATAATACTTGAAATGTACACTAAAAATCAGAAGTTTTTATAGACACATCATTTGAGATATATAAATAAGTAATAACATCTGAAAAGCAAAAACTTCTGTTTCCTTATAACCACCTAGACTGACTGAATTTAGTAAAGAATTTTAAGAAAAGGTCTGCTAGTACATGATAAATTTCAATTTTCTCCTGGCTTTGAATCAAATTTGAGGAGGGAAAGAAAGACAATAAGATAAATCATCAGTACAAAAAATAAGTATAGGAAAAATGTTATTTCTTTTTTGCTCTATATGTTTCATAATAAATAACACATTTATATGTGTAGACTAGTTGAGCAATAATAACACATAACATTAAAATACATTTTAAATATGGGCTCATCTATTAAATCTTTTGTCTAATTGAAAACGTCAAGAAATAGTTTAGTCATCTTTAAACAGTGTTATTTTCTCTTAAACTTCCCAACAGATGGAGAAGTGATAAAAATACACCTCACTACATAATTAATTCAAATTTAAGACACAGCAAATGTTTCCTAGATGAAATGTTCTCCCAAAATACAAAGTATACTGTGAATTAAACTTCTTTTAAAATTATCCTAAACCAAATTTTGTAGCACTGTAGGAGATCTGAACTAAATGAGACACTGGGAATAGATGTCAAATTTAGTAGTGTAAAAAAAAAAATCCTTAATTTATTTTGACAGGTTTATTTTTGATAAGGAGTTTTGCCCTTTGCATTTATTCATCAGAAGCTCAGAAATTTCCTCTGTAGGTCCAAAAACCTCTACCAAAGAACAAGTTGTTTTTGCCAGGCCCAAGAGATTAAAAAAATTTTTAAGTCAATTATACCGAAGAACTGGTACCTATTCTGACTTATATTAGGCGTAAGAATATAATTCTGTAGAGTAAGATGCAATATCTAAATACTCCAAAGCAGAGAGAAAGAGAACTCAAGTTCATGGGAAAATAAGGTAGTAAAGAGGAGACCCAAGACCAGTTGGAGATCCGGAAACATTCATACATAAGCTTAATTACTAATACTCTAGAACAAGGGTGGGCAAACTATGGCCCCTGGGCCAAATCCTGCCTGCCTGCTGCCTGTTTTTATAAAGTTCTATGGAACACAGCCATGCCTATTTATTTACATACTGTCTATGGCCAGTTCTGTATTTACATACTGTCTATGGCCAGGTACAGTTCTTTGGTATAATTTGGACTTAAAAAATGTTTTAATCTCTTGGCCTGACAAAAACAACTTGCTTCTTTGGTAGAATAGTGACAGAGCTGAGTAGTTGTAATAGTGGACCCTGTGACCATACAAAGCTAAGATATTTACTATCTGGCCCTTTATAGAATAATTTTGTAACCTTCTCTTATAATAAAATGTAAAAATGATTATATCTCGATTTGCTAAAGAACTTTCTCTTTTCTAGAAATAAACTTTAATCTAAAACTAACATAATTTTAATGTAGCTATGCTTATTACATTAACAACCCTCGCTACTAAGCTGCCTTAATAACCAACATCAAAGCACCATCAGTGCTACTTTAAGTCTTTCAGTATCTTATACTGGGTTACCAAAGTCTTGGTTTGCTTTTGGTAACAATGAACTGCTTCGTTCACTGTTTTTATCTGCTAATTGAAGAAAATATAATAATGCAGGAATTTAAGGCATAATTTAGGTCTACCAATCTATACTGTAGTCTTCCCACATACATTCTAGAAATAACATTATGATTTTTTTTTCCTTCCCAAATGAAAAGATACCAAAGAACCAGGTAACATAACTATATGAATCCTACTGAATGACTACATTTCAATCTGAGCACAGTTAAAGTATTTCCTGGAATATTAACGTTTAATAGTTATAAATAATTTTTAAATGACATACAATGCTTTATATTTAAATAAGAATATTGAAATAAAAAGATAACACACTTCTATGCTCTAATGTGTTTTTATAAACCTAGATGCCTGGATTATCAACATTATTTTATACCAAAGCATTTAAAGATTATACTTCATCAGGTTTCACCATTATAAATTAAGTTTAATAATAAGTTAAAATGCAAAAACTCTATCATTATTTTCTCTCAACAGGAACATTTCTGTCAACAATATTCCATATACCAGGATCATAAGAAGGTGGAGGAGGAGGAGGAAGTTTGCCACCCTCTTTAAGTGCCTGATCAAGGCCTTTAGCTGCTCTTATGGTGGCAATGAATTCTTCATGTTTTCTTCTCCAATTAGATGGTTTCTTTGGTGGTTCTGGCTATAAATAAATAATAATAAAAAAAGTATCACAATTTTTTTTAGTAAATTGAAATAAAACTTGAAGTAATGCCATATTATTTTGAATATTCTCTTATCAGGAGTCCTTAAATGAATTCCTTTCCAAATTTATAATATTAAAGAGAAACATTATGTGATTGCATTGTATCATATGCAATCTTTTATGCAATTCTTATCATGACAAACACTGCTAAGTGCTTTCTGAAGTGTTACATCTATTTAGACTGCTACTAAGAGTGCTGCTATGGTTTGAATGCTCCCTCCAAAACTCATTGAAATTTAATTACCATGAATACAATATTAAGATGTAGGGGCATTTAAGAGGTGATTAGGCCATAAGGGCTCTGCCCTAACAAATGGATTAATGCTTTTATGCCAGGAGTGTGTTAGTTATTACAGAAGTGGGCTCCTGATAAAAAGATACTTTTGGCCCCTATTTTCTCTATCTCATATGCATGCTTGCTCTTCCACCACGGGATGATGCAGCAAGAAAGTCCTCACCAGATGCCAGTGCCATGCTCTTAGACTTCCCAGCCTCCAGAACTGTAAGGAATACATTTCTTTTCTTCAGAGATTAACCAGTTTGCAATATTGTTATAGCAGCAGAAAACAGACTAAGATAAGAATATGTCCCTATTTTCCTATAGACTCTCTAATAGAGTACGTTATCAAACTTTTGGGTTATTAACTCACTAAAAAGGTGAAAAATAGTCCTCTCTCTGTGGATTTAATTGGATTTTCTTTTCTAATTAGTGAGATTGAGCATCTTTTCATATTGTTAAGAACCATTTGTATTGCCTCTTTTGTGAACTGTTTATGTTCCTGATTAACATTTATTGGGTTATTGGTCTTTCTTGTCACAATTTCTATTGATAGTAACTCTTTATAGGAACTATCCCCTTCCTCCTACCAACAATTTGTCTTTTGACCTTGCCTATGAGTCTTTTGAAATGCAGCATTATTTTTAAAATATGGTTTAATTTTCAGATCTTTTCTTTTATGGTCTCTAGATTTGCAGTCATATTTAGCCATGCTCAAACTCACATGATAGAAAAATGAAATTCTCCCATGTTTTCTTCTAGAACTTCCACAATGTTGTTTTAAAAATTTTAAATTTTTATTCATATGGAATTTACCCTGGTGTATGATGAGACAAATGATTTAACTTTACTTTGTTTTTTAACATAGCTATACAGTTGTCCCACTATCCTTTATTGACTCCCCAACCTCCCACAGAACTGAGATAACTACCTTTATCACACCCCAAACTCCTTCATGGATTTGGGCCTATTTCTGTTAATGTTCTGTTCCATTGTTCTGACTATCCGTGTCAGTATCAGTGTTTCAAATATTGAAACTTTATATTTTAATATCTGATAGAGTAATCCTATTTTACTCTGCTACTTTTTCAATCTTTTCCTGGTTATTCACATACATATATTTTCCATAGGAACATTAGAATCAGCTTGTCTAATTTTAAAAAATATTTTAACTAGAAAAATTAAACATTTCATTCATAAACAAGTTAGGAAACTTAAAATCTTTATGATGTTGATTCTACCTATACAAGCACCTAGGCCATATTTCCACTTGAAGTGGTCATTTGTATCTTTTGGTAGGTTTTCTGAGTATTCTTTGTGAAAGTCCTGTATCTTTATCATAAGGTTTATTCCTAAGTATTCGAGATTTTGTCTCGTCCTTTAATATAAGGTCTTTTCTCATTTTTATGTGTTAATAGGTTGTTTGCTGAATATATGATGCCTAGTACTTTATGGATAGTAACATTATACCACATTATTTCACCTTTCCCTTATTGTTTGCAGTAATTTCTCAGTTGATTTTCTTAGGTTTTCCAGGTATATCACATCTTCTAATAATAACCATTTTACCCATTCTTTTCCTCCATCTTTATGCATGTAATTTCTTGTTCTTATTGAACTGGATCAGCTGGCGTGTACTGTGTTGGTTGCAGCTTAATCTTGTTCCTGACTTTAACAGGACTACCTCTATTGTCTTTCCATTAAACATCATGCTGGCTCATGTGCTACAAAGATTTATTTTGTCATATTATTGAAATATCCAACTATATCTATTAAGCCTTTATTTTTTATATCAAGAATAAGTGTTGAATCAACAAAGTCAAAAGATGGCTCTTTAAAAACACAATAATGCAAGACTAATCAAGAAAAAAGAGAACACAAATTATTAGGGAATAGAAATACGCCATACAGTTCATACAAACATAATAAAGAAGATAGTATAAAGCAACTTTATCTCAATCAATTTGATAATTAAAATGAAACAGGCAATTTACTTGGAAAACACAACAAAACAGATACCAAAATAAATAGAAAATCACAAGTGTTATATTTATTGTAAAAAATAAATCTATTCCTCCCCACAAAGAAACCTGCTGGCTCAGCTGCCTTTATTTTTTAATTCTTGCAAACATTTAAGGAAAAAATAGCATTACGCTTATATAAACTCATTCAGAGAATAGAAAACAAGAAAACAACTTTCTAACTAGTTTTCTGAGAGCAGCAAAATTTTGAAAAAAGGAAAAATTATAGACCCACTTCTATAATATGGATGTAGAAATAGTAAATAGCAAATTTAGATGTTTGAAGTGACTCTTTGAAGTTTCTTATTCTATAGCAAAATATCTGATCACAATATTAATCTGCTCCACAATGGTATTACTCATCTACTGGTAAGTTTTGCTGCTCTTTTCTCTTTTTGCCCATAGTATCTTTTATCAGTGCTGAGCTAAGAAGAGTTTTATTATTCATTACTGAATAAGTTAAGTTTTCCTGGTACAGGTATTTGCAAGAGACTTGAGGGAGGAGAGGCCCAGCATAGCCTTCCAGGCTACACAAACCGGCAGCTCTCTTCTCAGTTGCACAAGATACGGACTATTTCCTGCAAATAAAGGGTCTTTGTGTGATTACGTACACCTGCCTCTTCTGGTTCTCTAAAACAATACTGGCCCAGGAGGGCTACTGCTACCTTTAAATCCCTCAAGAACCACTTCAAAAAAAGGACACAGCCTTTTAGGTTATGCCCTTCATCTTAGGTAGGGCATTTTTATAGTGCTTTCCAAGGGCCTCTACCAATAGGCCTCCTTGACTCTGTTCCTTTTCTCTCCTTTACCCACTCCTGGCTTTTATCCAATTTCATCCCTGTTCATTCCAGTTCCTGGCTACCCAAATTCCTACAGCTCATCCCAGTTCCCACCTTGGCTGTAGTAAACAAGAGAAATATATTCTCCGATGAGACCTCTCGCCTTTAAGGAATCACTTTTAAAGGGGCAGATTTCCAGAATCTGAGCCATGGCCCACACCTAGCAACTTCCTGTACTTCCTCTTATGGGTAATTTCTCCTGGATCTCAACTGCTTTGGGCAGTCCTTACATATATTTGGTAATCTGTGGATTATGCCTGCCTTCTGTCTTTCCAAAAATGGAGTTTGTAGTTGCTTTACCCTCACTCTGCTTGTGATTTTGAAGGATTTTTTGATAAAGGTAAATATATTGAGAACTACACTACAATGTTCAAATTTTCTAAGACACTGCTTCTCAAACTTTAATGTAAATATGACTCACCAGGGATTTTGTTGAAATGAAGATTCAGTATGTCTAGGAAGAACCTGAGATTCTGTATTTCTAAAACGTTCTCCAATAACAGATATTACTGCTATATGGACCATACTTTAAATAGCAAGGCAATAAATCACTTAATGTAAAGCCATGGTTTTTACTTTTTTTCTGGAAATTAATTTTTAAGTATTCAAACCCCCTTCATTATAAAAGAAAAGAATAACGTTTATTGTGATCACCACTATGAGATCTAATGTAATTCCCACAATAACCCCACAAGATAAATACTACCACTATTACCATTTTACCCCATAAATAGAAGGATAATTAGATTAAGTAACTTGCCCCAAATAACATAGAATGTAGCAGACTCAGGGTTAAATCCAGGCATTCTGACTCTTGAGCCAGTTTTCATACCCACTATATTATACTGCCTCCAACCATTGGGCTAGTTTAACTACCTAAGCTAATTTAACATAATCACATATTTGCCAAGTTACTAAAAAACAAATTGAAATATTGGTTTATGTACCTTATTCAAATTTTATCATCCTTCCCTTACATATTCACAGACTGAAAATTAAAGATGAACATCTGATTTTTCTATCATCAAATGATTTTATTAGTAAGATTAATTTCCCTATAGGGAAATGTTTTCCTGTAAAACTGGAAGACGTTATTACCATTAAAAGTAGGGTTTTGTTTCAAAATCTATTCAATCAGGCACTTATCTTCAATAATTTCCCTGAAATGACTCTTTATAACTACTGTGCTTCCCTGAAAATAAAACCTACCCATAAAATAAGCCCTAGCAGGATTTCTAAGCATTTGCACAATATAAGCCCTACCCTGAAAATAAAACCTAGTGATGGGCGTGGCTACACAGCATATCTGCTCAACCCATACATTTCGTTGCAGAGCAGTAAAGAAGATGAGGAGCCCTTCTCATCAGCCCCATCATGACAGCTACCATCCTAGAGGTGACCCAAAAGGTGCAGGCAGCCCCACCAACAAGGTCGGCTCCTTCTGTCAGGTCCCAGCCATTCTGTGCATGCTGCAAGCTGAGGCTTTGAAGGGAAAATAACACATCCCCTGAAAATAAGCCCTAGGGTGTCTTCTTGAGGAAAAATTAATATAAGACCCTATCTTATTTTCGGGGAAACACGGTATGTCAGATGAAGTATTCAAATAATTTATTCTTAGCAATATACAGTCAACCTTCCATATCTGTGGGTTTGGTATCCATGGGTTCAACCAACCATGGGTAAAAAAAATGAGGAAAAAATAATGATCAAAAATAATAATTTAAAAAATGCAGTATGACAACTGTTTACATAGCATTTCCATTGTATTAAGTATTATAAGTTATCTAGAGATAATATAAAGTATACACAGGATATGTGTAAGTTATATCCAAATACTATACCATTTTATATAAGGAATTTGAGAATCCACAGATTTTGATAATCCAAGGGTGGGTCCTAGAACCAATCCCCTACAGATATCAAGGGATGACTATCTGACAGGTATTAAGAAGAGATTATCATTGCCTTGGTTCCAAGAAAGAAAATGGGCTGACAACAGCTGTATGTGGACAACTGAACAACTGGTAAAATTTTTCCCCAGAAGGCAAAATATAGATGACAAATACTGGCAGTCAATAAGTCAAGATAATCAATATCTATTATGCTAAAATGTCTATAAATAATAGCTGTACATTCTGTATATAGGAATTATACTACTGGTAAGAGATAGTAGTAGTTCAAAACTTAAGTTATACCTAAAGTTTTTAACAATGACTTAGAAAGCACATGTGATAGCAATTGTTTGTCCAATGGTACACAAACCTCACTGTCATTAATGGAATTTGAGATGGCACCTTGGTCTACTCCTACTTTGCAGAAGTTTAAAATTTTATTTAGAATAAAACTTATTTTATAAGCTTTTGATAATTCCTAAACTGAATACATAACACAGAATTGTGTTTATTCTTTAATCTTAGTATAACAGGTAATTACAATTTTTTTCTATATATAATAGCAAGGTTCATATTGTTCATATTTACCCTTGGTTTAAGAGGTTTTACTGTTGGAATATCGGTTCCTTCAGCTCTTTGTCTGCTTGAATCAAAAGTCTTCCGTTTTTTAGTGGCGGTTTTCTGGCAAATGGGTCCATGTTTTTTCTGTTAAGTGAAAAAATGTAATGTATCATTTTCTCTTCTTACAGAAAATTATAAAACTTTAAATTGAGACCATTTTAAAAATCTGAGATCAATTTAAAAATCTGAAGATAAAAGATATACCTTGCCTTAATTAAAATTAACTTTTAAAACATATATATAATACATGCCAAATGTTATACCTTTCTCATAAGACAGTCTTGTAAAATTTTATTAACAGTTATTCAATATCTTCCAGTTTTCACATTGCTAAGAAAAGTAGTGTAACCAAGTCAAAGCTAATCCAGTGAAGGGGCGGGGGTCTTTACTAAATACCTGAACATAGATACCAGAAAACAATATAAATGGAGAAGAATCCATTATGGTTAAATTTACAAAAGTTAATAGTAGTTTGGATTACTAAAGTTAACATAACAGTAGTATGCTAATATAAACTTTATACAAAATAATAGGGCAAAGTGGTCAGATCTGTGTTCTTCCCCCATAATAATCCCTTTTCTCCATTCTAGAAGTCAAATTTTCTACCTTTCTTCACCTAGTATATTTCTTGAGTTACCTACTGTTCCACTCCTCTTATTTTTGTTTATTTGTTTGTTTTTTAGTAGAATTGCCAACTCAATCATTCATTCATTCATTTTAAGGAGATTCCAATGGAAGCTCTCTTAACTGACCTCCAGTTAACCAATTAGATAAACAAACATTCTCCCACTACTAGATAAAGCATGTTGACTGATGACATCAGTGCGCTAAACACACTTCCTTTCTTTTGTGTTTTGGTAAACGCTGAACAAAATGGAATTATTAAACTTTAGGAAAAAAGAAGCCCCAAAACTGATTTATTTGATGTCATAGAGACTCTTTTGCTTTCAGAAACAATCAGGAATCAACTGTTTTATATACTTGTTTTCAGTTTTCATTTCAACAAACAAGCACTGTAATTATAAATATGAGAATAAAATCTTTAAGTATTCAAAAAAAATGAGGTTAGCAGGCAGTAGACCCCTGTACAAATGTTCTGGCATATGTCAAGTGTAAGTGCTCCTTGTTTACAAACCTGATTAATTCAAGTTGTAGCTGTTAAAGTGATAACTTCACTAAATCAAATACTAGACAAATGAGGGCAAAAATGGGCATTTTTTGCCTGTGAAACTCAACAGAATGCTTTCAAAAATAATAAACTAATAAGAAAAAAAAATCACTGAATGTGTAGAAAAGATGTTTTTAAAGGATTACAGAAAAGTCATCATTTAATAGGTGCTTGCAGTCAGAAGGCCACTTTGTATAATTAATTCCTCACTTTGCTTTACAGAAATAAACTGAAATTAGTAAGAGGATGAACAGTGGATTGTGGCAGAACTCTACTCAGCAGATCCATATTCATAGAAAAATTCTTTATCCTGAAAATTATTAATAAATGTATATTTTTAGTATATGTACTGCTGAAGCAAGCACTAAATGTGCATTTTTGTTTGAAGCTACCATCTTTAAGGTACATCAGCATGATTTTTATTATTCCCTATGTATTATAATTGGCTAATTTTTATTAAGATCAGTTAAAAGGGTTTCAATATTTGTACATACTAAGTATCTAAAAGTATCTGAAGAATGCATAATAAATTTTAGGTACATTCTTATACCGAAAAAAACTTTTAGAATACTTCAAACTTTGGAATACTTCAAATACTTTGGAATACTTTCTGGAATACTTCAAACATACTAGTATAATTAACTCCCATTTAAGTCATGATCCAGCTTCAACAACTAAATTACCAACATTTTAGCAATTTTGTTTCATCTATCCCTGCTTTTGTCCTGAAATACTATAAAACAAACCCCAAACATTATATAATTTTGTATTTGTAAATACATTAATACTTATTTCTAGAGGTATTTTATTTTGTTTTTGTGTTTTTGTTTGTGGTTGGTAATAGTCCCACAAAACTAGGAATAATTTAACAATTTAATAGAGGAGTTCTGAAGTCCAATCAAACTCTAAAGGAAAGAGAACTCTGGAAGAATGAGTTGAACATTCTTGGTTCCACATAGTTGGAACCACGACTCTAGAACAAAGAACACGACCCAATAACTCTTCAAATATTTCCACATAAGCTCTTCCCACGAGAGTTGTCCTAAAGTATTGAAAAATCACAGATGCCTTAAACTGCAAAGAGAAAAGGTACAAAATCAGTCTACTCACCAATGCTACTGGAAAGAATGTTCTTCCACAAATTTTGCAAGGTAACAATTCTCCAACTTGGACAATACTTCCATTTTCTAAAACAGAAAAGAATTTAAAATAATTTCTGTAGTTCAAATCATGAAACTTCAAATGTTAACATTTTCTCGTAGTTTCATGGGTAAATTGTCAATTTTTGTGGAAAATGTCATTTCCTTTTGAAGTAAAATTATCATTAAAATGGGCACAAAACTTAGAGTTATCAAAGTCAAAAAGTGGTGGGGAAAATAAAAACAGGATAAATACAGAAGAGTCATGATTTAAGGATAACCAAGTTGGGCTGGTCATGATGGCTCACACTTGTAATCCCAGCACATTGGGAGGCAAGGCCAGAGGATCACTGGAGGCCAGAAGTTCCAGATCAGCGTGGGAAATATGGCGAGACCCACCCCCCCAATAAAAATTTTTAAAGAATTAGCCACACATGGTGGCACACGTTTGTAGTCCCAGTTACTTGGGAGGCTGAGGCAGTAAGACCACTGGAGCCCAGGAATTTAGGGTTACAGTGAGCTAGGACTGGGCCACTGTACCTCAGCCTGAGCAACAAAGTAAGACCCTGTCTCCAAAAAGCAAACAAACAAAACAAAACAAACTAAGAAAACCCACAAGATAATCGAGTTGATACTGCTGGAAATACTTAGTTTTCCTGTAACTATTTTAACCAAATCAATTTGTCATATCCTCTTGCAGGCTATCGCTACTCTAAATTACTAAACTTAAAAACCAAATTTATCTTATTAATCTTCAAGGCATAAAGAAATACCATTGTTAATGGGTCAAGTGGCATCCTGAGATGATCTGAGGAGTCTAGAATAAAAAGGACAGTCTGTTTATCACCAGATAAAAGGGATAATGCTTTATGGATAAGATCTCCTAGTAATGCAAACTGCAAGTATTGTGTGAACTGTTCATTATTTTATACATATAAAACTTACATTAAGAATCATTGGTCCAGTAAATTGAGATATTCTGACAAGCACAATTAATTAACTAATTAATTAATGAAGAGATGGCTACAACATTCACTCGATTAAAATTATAACCATCATGTACTTGGATTTAACAAATGTTAGTAATAAAATAATTTTTTAAGAAAAAAATAACTAAATTCTTTGGGATTCTAAAACTGAGCCAATTTGTCATTTTATTTTCTAGCTAAATACCAAACCTACATTTATTTTCATACTTATGTTCTAAAAAAAACACTACTAAATTTGACATCTATTCCCAGTGTCTCATTTAGTTCAGACTCCTACAGTGCTCACAAATTTTTGTTTAGGATAATTTTAAAGAAGTTTAATTCACAGTATACTTTGTATTTTGGGAGAACATTTCATCTAGGAAACATTTGCTGTGTCTTAAATTTGAATTAATTATGTAGTGAGGTGTATTTTTATCACTTCTCCATCTGTTGGAAGTTTAAGGAAAATAACACTGTTTAAGATGACTAAACTATTCTTGACAGTTTTCAAATAGACAAAAGATTTAATAGATGAGCCCATATTTTAAAAATGTATTTTAATTGTTATGTGTTTTATTGCTCAACTAGTCTACACATATAAATGTGTATTTATTATGAAAACTATAGAAGCAAAAAGAAATAACATTTTCCGTATACTTATTTTTTTGTACTGATGATTTATTCTTATGTTCTTTCTTTCCCTCCAAATTTGATTCAAAGCCAGGGAGAAATTGAAATTTATCATGTACTAGCAGACCTTTTCTTAAAATTCTTTACTAAATTCAGTCAGTCTAGGTGGTTAAGGAAACGATTCTCTTTTCAGATGTTATTACTTATGTTATATATCTCAAATGATGTGTCTATAAAACTTCTGATTTTAGTGACATTTCAAGTATTATGTTTTAATATGTTTCTGTTTCTATTTTTAGATTATATCCAATGTCCATATTGCAGGAGATTCAATGAGCACTGATAGACATATAAATTTCTGTAAAGAACAGGCAGCACGTATTAGTAATAAAAGGCAAATTTTCTGCTGATACCAAAGGAAAACCGACTTCTCGGACACAGGTGATGTGCTCAATTTGTGTATTTCTATAAATAATGAGAAAATGGCTCTTTCAAATGTATAGTTTTGTGCTTATAACACAGGACATTAAAATACCATTGTTGCTATACACACACACACACACACACCACACATATATAAACACCTTTTTTATAGGTTATCTGTTTAGTGGAAAGCTTGGTACATAGTTTTTGTATTTTCTGGTGTATATTAGAATATTTTCTCTTCGTGTGTTTTTTTTTTTTTGGTGTCTTTTGTAGAGGATATGTTTTAAAATTCAATCAGGTTATTATTATTTCTTTTATAATACATTCTTTTGTGTTGTATCAAAGAAATCTTCTATATCAAGGTTGCAAAGATTTTTTCCCTTATGTTTTCTAGAAGTTTATAGTTTTAGTTCTTGTATCTATGATCATTTCAAGCTGACATCTGTGTATAGTATATATTATATAAGGGCAATTGTAATTTTTATATGTGATGATTCTATTGTTTCAGCACAATTTGTTGAAAAGATTCTAAATTGTAAATAAATTTCTAGGAATTTTGTTGAAAATAGAGTTATAATATATATGCATGGTTATTTCAGGACATACTGTTCTGTTGCATTGATTATATGTCCTTTAATCAATACCAGCCTATTGCTATCACGAATTTGTACCTTAAGTCTTAATCAGGTAATCTAAATTTTCCAACTTGAATCCTTTTAAAAATTGCTTTGGCTTTCTAGGTTTATTTTATAGATAAATTTATAAATGATGAAAATTCTACAAAAAATGACTGCTAGTATTTGAGATTATATTAATCCATAAATCAATTTGGGAAGGATATCATTTTAATAATACTGAATAGTCCAAATAATGAACTTGTTATATTTCTACTTATTTGAGTGTTCTTTATTTTAACAATGTTTTATAGTTTTCAGTATAAGTCATATATTTATTGTATTAAATCTTTCCCTGAGTAGTCATGTATTTGGATGCTCTTGTAAGTGGAATTATATTTATCTCACTTCCATTTGTTAATGCTTGTTTAGTTCTGATATTTATAAACTGGTTTTTATATATTGATCTTGTACCATGCTATTTTGCTAAATTCACTTATAAATATAATATCTTTCTTACAGATTTTCTTAGGAATTTTCTATGTATACAATCATGTCACCTGTAAATAAGGACAGTTCTATTTTCTCCTCTCCAGCCCTTTTTTATTTTTTTGTGTGATTACTGTATTATCTAGAACTTCTAGTGCAGTGTTGAATAGAGGTGATGGGGAGCATACATTCTGCCTTGTTTCTATGCTTAGGTGAAAAGCATTTCTGTTTTTTTACATTGAGTATGTTGTTAGCTGTGGGTTTTTGCTGTGTTCTTTGGTCAAGTTAAGAAAGTTTCTCTCTTCTCTGGGACTTTTTTTTCCTTCTGAACTATTGGTGGGTTTTGAATTTGTTGAATGCTCATTCTTTATGTGTTAAAATGAAGTATGTTTATTTTCCTTATTCTTATAATATGATGTATTGCACTGATTGGTTTTCAGATATTAAGCCAAATTGTGCATTCCATTAATACATTTCATTTCCTTATGAATTGTTATCCTTTTTATTAAGTTGACATATTTTGGATTGATATGCCAAAATTTTATTAATAATTTTTGCATCTATTGCATGAGAATACTGGTCTATTTGGCTAGTTTTGGTGTCAGGGTACATACTGGCCTCATAATGGGTTTGGTGTTTATTTCCTCCTGTATTTTTTCAAAAAGTATTTGCAGTATTAGTATTATTCCTTTTTTGTATGTTTCCTACACTTCATCATTGAACCACCTAAGCCATGGAAATTTTTCTTTTTTTCTAAGTGTTTTAACCTATTATATCAATTTCTTTGTAGATTCTTCTGGTGTCAGTTGCATCATTCACATAATTTGTCTCTTTCCTGTATGTAGTTGAATTTAGTTGACTTGAAAATATTCTCTTTTAATGCCCTCTAGAATTTTCAAGGGACATCCTTTTACATTCCTAGCTGCTAGTATTTTGTCTTTTGTTTTGTTCTCACTGATCAGTTTTTTTTTTCCTTGATCAGTTTAGCTAGAGGTTTATCAATTTTATTACATGTTTTCAAACAAAAAGCTTTTGGCTTCATTGCTCTAGCTGCATCTCACAGATCTTAATGTTTATTTTTATTATCATTCAATCAAAATATTCCTTATTGTGGTTTCTCTCTTTTACTCATAGTTTATTTCAAAATGAGTAATTTATTTCCAGATATTTGAGCTTTTCTAGATGTTTTATTATTTTATATTTTTAATTCAATTTTGTTGTGGTCTGGAAACTTACTTGGGTAGATTCCATCTTATTGGATTTGTTTTATTGCCTAGCATATGGTCCTTTTTGGTGAATGTTACATGGTATTTGGGAAAAAAAGTTCTTATGCAGTTGCTGAGTTTTGAGTTTGTAATGTCACTTAGGTTAAGTGGCTGATCTTTTATGTCCTTTCTGACTTTTTGTCTAGATGTATCCATCAGTTACTGAGGGTATATGTTAAAATCTTCAACTATGAATTGTGGTTTTGCGGTGTTTCTCATTATATTTGCCAGTTTTTGCTTCAATATTTTTGAATTTATCTTCTTATTTGTATTTACATTCTTAATTGTCATCTTTCATTTATTGACTTTTTTTATTCGGCATTTTTAGGGGGTACAAAATTTTAGATTGTCAGATAATGCCCTTTCCCCCCTGCCCCCCAATAGTGCTGAGTTTCCAGCGATGACCCTCCCCCAAGGATGGGTGCACATCTCAGGCCGGAGTGGTGGCTCACCCTGTAATCCTCAGCACTCTGGAGCTGAGTTGGGCGGATTGCTGCGGAGTCAGGAGTTCGAAGGGATCTTTTATTATTAATGAAATGCCCCTTTTTGCCTGTGGCGCATTTTTCTTATGTTAAAGTGTATATCATGCTGATAAGAATATACACCATTCATCTTATGCTCTCTTTCATTTTCTTTCTGTTCTTAATTTAAAT